ACCCACCAAAGCAACCGCCGATTCCGGCGCCGCAGTACCAGGGCTCCTTCTGGGCCCATCTGCTCTCCATTGACCTGTGGGCGTTGTGGCTCGCGTACTTTGGCATGGGGGGCACCGCCACGGTGGTGCAGATGAACGCCGCCCAGATTTACCGCAGCAAGAACAACGGCGGGTTTGACACCCGAACTCTGACGCTGTACCTCGCCATCATCTCTGTGGGCAGCGCTGTTGGACGCATTTTCATAGGATGCCTCGATATGAAGCTGGCTGCGTGGAACCGTGCAGGCAAGTCACAAATGCTGACGACTATTGCGCTTCCCATTGGTCCCCTGCTGATGGTGTTGGCGTACCTCTTCTTTGCCGTCCTGCCGTCTAGCGCGCTAATACTGCCGTTTTTGCTTGGAGCTATCGGAAACGGCGTTGGCTGGGGTGTGGGCGTTTTTGCGATGCGGATGCTGTACGCCGAGGACATTGGGAAGCACTACAATTTTTGTTTTTCGTCCGCTGCTGTTTCGTCAGTTGTGCTGAACCGCTTCATGTTCGGGGAGATGTACGATGCGGAGGGGCGCAAGCGTGGCGAGTTCCCATTATGCAACGCCCCCTCGTGTGTGCGAAACCAGATGATTGTCCTGCTGGTCGTTAATGTGGTCGCCACATTTTCCGCCCTGTTGGTGCACTGGCGATTTTCGCGCTTCACCCAGTCGAAGCTGGAGGAACAGCGGGCGGCTGCGGCTGCCCAGCATAGTCTAATAATGATGAGCCCGAGGCACAGCCAGTAGAGCCGAGTGAAGGAATTCATCTGCGTGCGTAGGGGCTGTGCCCCCGCTTCTTTTTTGAACCTCCCACTCACTTTGTTACCACTCCCTCCATTTTCACTGATTTCGCTGTATGTCCTGCCTCTTGCTGTTATGTGGATGCGCCCGAACTTTCACACATCATTCTTCTGCCTAGATGAGTTGTCAACAGTGGTAGTCGTGGGATTGCTTCGGTTGCTGTCGCTGTGCACGGAGGCGTTTTGCTTCGGGGTGAATTCCGTGTAACTTATTCGTCTCTCACCAAGTTATGCTATGCTGTCTTTGTTTCGTTTTGTCATCTTTCATTCCCTGTGTTTATATATATATATATGTGTGTGTGTGTATGTAGCAAACGACGGTGTCAACCAGAAGCAGGCGTGGTGGGGACAGTGAGGTCGGTGCATGTGCGGTATATGCTGTATCCTGCGACTGCACGGGCGAGCGGGTCTTCGTGGCATGGCTGTGTGCAGCGATGGCTATGTGGACCGGGCGGCGATTCACCAGTCGGTGCGACGCCGTGGTCCAGATGCATTTGCGTCGCTGCGGCTTGAAATTGCTCCCGACGTGCACGTGGAGGCGACAAGCGCTGTTCTGCGCCTACGCGGTGCTGTTGGTGGTCTTCGTTCTGCCGGGAGCCCCGGAGGCGTCGACGGCGAAATGCTACAGCCAGCCATGGCGGCGCCCAGCCGTTCCTGCTCACAGGCGTCATCATGCCTCTCGTTCCTTGAGTGGAATGGCGAAGTGTTCGGTGGTGCGCTGCAGCTGCCTCCGGAGGTTTCCGACACAACTGCCGTTCTTGAGCGTCTGCATCAGCTGGAGCACGACGCCGCGGCTGGGTTCTGTGACACGTTCAGTGGTACCGCTAATGTCCGTTATGCGGCTGCCCTGGCCACGGCCCAGGCCTCGTTTTCGGAGTCGTGTGTCCGCTTCTTTGAACGTGAGATTGAGGGGCCCTACGCCTTTGTGTACTACGCCCACTCACTGCGGCTGTTTCTCTTTGGGCGGGACCCACTGGGGCGGCGCTCCCTGCTTTTGCATGTGGCCGCGGTCTCCCCGGCGGCGAGGGAGGAGGGAGAGCGCATTGCCTCGGAGTCAAACTCCGTGGAGGTGGCGATAGCCTCCGTGTCTGGAGGGCACTTGCATCCCCGTTGCACGCGAGGAGCCGCCACGGGGGAGGGCAGTAAACGCGCGAGAGGCGACCCCGACGGCCAAGCCGGGGAGAGTGATAAGGAGAGCGAGAGGAACGGTGCCACGCCGCTCTTCTCCGTTTCTTCTGGTTGCTGCTGGCAGGAGATCCCCAACACGGGTCTCTTTGCCATTGACGTGGCAGTGTCCTCAGAGGCCTTTCTGGTTTCGCATTATCCGTGGGCGGTGGCACATGGTGTCCACCCGCTGCTGCGCTTTCAATCCCGACCGCAGCTGAGTCCGGCGACAGGGCAGTTGGAGGGCATCGACGAGGAAAAGATGGCAGGGGAGTGCCCTGCGATTATTCGATGCCTGTTGCGGGAGAGTGGGGTGCTTGCCCCTCCGCTGCTGCAGGAGGCCACGTCCTTCGAGGTCGCGATGGCCACCCGCTACCTTAAGTCTCTTTGGAGGGCTGTGGCGGTGCGCGTAAAGGCTGAGAACTGCGGTGCCGATCCTACGCGTCCGATTGGAGTCTTGTTTTCAGGCGGCATTGACTGCACCGTGCTGGCCGCGATTGCGCACTACGTTCTACCTGCCACCACGCCTATTGAGTTAATCAATGTGGCTTTTGGAGAGGCTCCAGAGCTCGCCCCTGACAGGCTGGCCACATTTAGGGCCCTCGAGCAGCTGCTGCGGCTGCCAACCCGTTTGAAGGGAGGCGACCAGGAGACACTCCGCGCGAGCGGCAGGGAGTGGCGTCTCGTGCTAGTGGATGTCCCTCACAACGCCAATGTGTCTCACATTGAGAGCCTAGTGTGCCCGGGCAACTCGATCATTGACATGAGCATCGGCACTGCGTTATGGCATGCTGCCCAAGGCTGTGGGCGAATGCAGCGTGTCCGCGCTGACGAGGAGCTTGTGCCTAGAATGCGGTCAGGAGCTCATTCGCGTGTTAGTCACAAATTCTACCGCGTGTCAACTGAGAAGGCGAGAGTTGCATGCGAGTTGCAAGGAGTTGTCCCCACAAGCGGTGATGCAGAGAACGAGGCGAAATTTGCGCCGTTGCTTGAAGCTATCATTACAGAACTGGAGGCCTTTAACGAGGCGTCCTCATCCCCGGTGCTACTGTCAACCCTGGGGAAGGATCACGCGACCTCGCTGCGCCCTGTGTTGTGCAAATACGGGTACAAAAAGCTGGGGTCGTATCTCAATGACGCGGCTGCGGCCGGCGTGATTGCCTTTGCCAGGCATAACGAGGCGCCGTCCAAAGCCATCCGCCTGGTGAGGCCGGCAGACATGGAGAAGGTGCGGCGAGTGGCGCCCGCAAGGTGGCTCGTCGACGCTGGCGAGTCGTCCCCTTTGGGGTCATGCGTGGACAACTACACCTGCGCGTCCCGTGTGTTGCTCCTCGGGATGGGGGCAGACGAAACGCTTGGAGGCTACGTTCGACACCGCCGCGCCTTTGAGCGCCGCGGTGTGAAGGGTTTGACGGAGGAGCTGCACCGCGATTTTGCGCGACTGTGGAAGCGCAACTTGGGGCGTGATGACCGCGTCGTGAGTGACAGCGGGCGGGAGGGCCGGTACCCCTACTTGGATGAGGAGGTTCTGGGCACACTTGACTCAATCGCCGCAGAGGCCTACCGACGCGCCGCCGATACGGCACGCACCACTGCCGCTGCTAGCCTCGATACGGAGGCGGCACTGCGAGAGGCGCTTGCCCCAGTCTGTTGTTTCGGCGCCGACGATGGCCCGCCTGGCGTGGGTGACAAGAAGATTCTGCGGCTCTGTGCTTCCGTGCTTGGCCTCGGTGATGTGGTGCGGCTGCAGAAGCGTGCAATTCAGTTCGGTTCCCGCGTCGCACAGGCCCCTCCTTGACGCACCGCTTTACCCGCCGGCGTAACTTCTGAAGTCAAAGCCCGGGTTAAAATGGGCCCGCTGGTGCTGGGAAATTCGCCGCGGCGGTTTACATCGCCGTCGTTTTTCTTCCTCTCTGCGCCTGCCTGTCACTGTCGGGTCCCGACGGTCCGATTTCCTCCCCAAATCCTTCCTTTCTTTTTTCCCTTTCTTTTTCGGGCGGCGCAAAAGGCGCGGGAAGGGGAATGCTGCTGCGCTCCCCGCCCGGTGGGTTCGGGGGCCGCGCGGGCGCCATCGCAGGGATGCCGGGGGCGCCGCCCCCCGTGCGTCGCACGTGCGCTGCGTCCGCTGCCCTTGCGCGCCCCTGCCGGGCGTTCATTGAGCATAACTCGGACCCAACGAAGTGGCGGAGCCCGGCGAAGGCGGAAGTCAAGCGGCGCCACCCGGGGGTAAAGCTCGGCTCCGAGTTCGCGCGCATCAGGGAGCAGGGCGCAGTGGAGCAGCGGCTCGTTGCCGCCGACAAGTTCACGGATTGGAACATGGTGTGGCTCTTCGCCGCCGGCGCCGCCGTGCTGCTCGTGCTGCTGAACGTGCTGATGGACACGGTGGAGCCAAATCCCCCGCCTGAGTATACGCCCTACCGTCCACCGTCGGAAGGGCATGAAGCTGGCCGGGAGGCGTGAGAGCAGATGGCCCGCTTCGTCGCCTGCACGGCCGACGAGGACACACACACACATATATATATATATATATGAACGCACTGTCGTTGTTTTTCTCCCCTCCTTCTTTGTAGAGGGGAAGGGAGGGCTGCCCTTCTTTGCGTGTGCGTGTGCATGCCACTCTTGACGAGACAACTTCTTCTGCCGTTGCCTCTTTTTTTGTTTGTTTGTTTGCTATTTTTATTGTTGTTATTCTTGTTCTTCTTCCTCTGCAGAGACAGTGCGTCGACCGATTGACGAAGTCTACCTGGCAGTGAATAGCATGCAGAGGCCACTCTCTGACGAGGAGCGGGCGGCAAAGGAGGCCCGTCTGGCCCAGCTCCGCGGCCAAATGAACACGCGGGATGGCGTCACTTCTTCTGCGGCGGCGGCGGCGGCGGCGATGCCCCAGACGCACACCACCACGTACGCCTACAACGATGCGCGGGACAGCGACGAGGAAGACGCGTGCGACGATGACGAGGGGGACACATTTTTCCGGGAGGCAGAGCGGGCCCATGAGGGGGCGGCCGGCGTCTGCATGTACGCAAAGCCAATGGGGGAGCTGATGGGAGAAACGGTGGAGACGGGGCCGAACGCCAGGCGCTGCACCGTGGGCGACTTCGAACTGCTTCGCCTGGCGAAGATGGGAGACCTCCTCTCCTTCAAGGAATTCGCGGCGGCCGTCGGCATCGACCCCGCCGTTTTTCAGGACAACCATGGGCGCAACGCGCTGCACTACGCGGCGGACAGCGGGAGTGTCGCGATGCTGCAGTACCTGATAGAGCAGCAGGTGCCCTTCACCAGGGACGAAAAGAAGATGACGCCCGTGGACATCGCCGTACTGAATCAACACAACGGCGCAGCAAAGCTGCTGGCAGAAACCTTTTCTGAGGCGGCCGAGGCGTTGAAGAGCTACGAGGAGGCCATCGAGGCCTTTACGCAGCCGCCGCCGAAGTTTACGATGTCAAAACCCGCCCCGCCCGCCCCGAAGGAGTCGCGTCAGCGCAGCTTCTGGAAAAATAAAGCGGCGGGCGCCGCCGCCACGCCGGCAACGACGGATACCTTTGCCACTCCTCTCACCGTCTCTCAGCTTACGGAGGCGCACCACGATCAGGTTGTGCGCGCCCTCGGCGGCGTGAGCCTGACGCGCGACAGCCACGGCTTTCACAATTGGCTTCCGCCGGCGGAGAGCGCGACTCTGGCCGCCACCCTCCCCCACGCCACGGTGGTGGGTGCAATGCAAACCGTCGACGGCGAAGAGGCCCTTCGCGGTGTGGTCGTAGCAGTGCCGCTGGGGGGCTCCCTCGTAGGAAAGAGCGGCGCCCTCAAGGCCGAGGATCCAGTGCTTGTAACGCAGCTGGCGGTTTCTCCCACGTCACGTGCAAGTAACGTCGCCACACTGATGATGGCGGAGCTCCAGAATTCACTCCAGGCCTCTAAACGCACGACTGTGGTTTTCCGAAGCCAACTGCAATTGCCCGTGCCGGCCGTGGGACTCTTGAAGTGGTCTCAGCGCTCAATTGCGCCGGGTAGCGTGATGCGGCAGCGCCACTCTACGGAAGTTTTCCCCGATTTTTACACCTACGACGAAATTCTTCGCGCCGACATCGTCGCCAAGCACGCACTGACAAAATCGTTTTGTGCCCAGAAGGCATCCCACCGTGAGGGCTGGTGTGGCGTGGATCGTGGCAACTTGGAGCAGGTGAAGCTGGTGCACGCTTTTGTTGCCGAAAACGCGGCCAAGTTGTTTGACGTCGCGTACGTGCCTGATACAACCGAAGACCTGCTGCGGGTCGTCGCGGCCGAGGGACTTTCCGCCTTTGTGTATGTGTCCCCAGCGTCCGGGGCAATCACGGACTTCGTCGTCTTGCGTCTCCGCAATCCGGAGCGGCCGACGGGGGAGGGCCACGCCGCCGCGATGTGTGTGTACGCCATCTTCACCTCCTTCAAGGGGTCCGAGAAGGCGGAGGAGGTGCTCGTCCTGTGCGAGAAGCTGAAGTGCGAGACTGTGCTCATTCCGAACACGTTTGGCTTCCTCGACGGCGAGCTGAGCAGGGCCAACTTTGAGGAGCTGCTTCTCTGCCGCGAGTACCTCTACGTCCTGAGGGCGCCGACGGAGAGCGCGCTGCCGCCGACGCCGCTTTCGAAGGTCGCCATCCCCTGCGCCTTCATTTAGGGGGCGTGCACGCGCAGCCAAAGGCGCCGGCGAGAGCCAAAGGAAAGCAAAACAAGTGAAGGAAACGAACTGGGTGGGGAAAAAAAAACAACAACAACGGCCAAAGGATCGGAAAAAGAAAAAAAAGAAACAACACAAAAAAAAAACGAATGCGGTGGGTGTTAAGGGCGGCGCCCCGTTTCAGCTGTAGAAGAGTAGGCTAATAGGAGTGGAGAACGGGGGTGGTACACGAATTTGAAGCGTGTGCGTCTTCTTCTTTTTTGTGTGTGTGTGTGCCGCTGCAGTTTCTTCACGCGCGCTGTCGCGCCTCCGCAAGGAAGTCGTCCGGCAGCTGCGTCTGTCGTTGCCCATGCAAGACGGAAGAGGAATAAGGTAGCAGAAGGAACAGCAAAACGAGAAACAAAAAGCCGGAAGGAAAAGGACACCGAAGCCACAGCGGGCGAACAAGAAGTTTCTGCGGGCAACTAGTGAAGGCGTGCGCGCGCTCTCTCCTCCTCTCTACCACGTTCTTTTTTTTTTATCCCTCACTCACCTTAACGCATCTGCGCTGCGAAGCGAGAACGAACGGGACTTATGTATCAGTAAAAGAATGCATGCATACATACATAAATGAACGCATGTCTACTCACGCCTTCTTCTTCTTCTCTTTGTCCCCTTGAAAGATGCGCCGGTCAAATGTGTTGCGTTGGCTTCCATTGAATTGGTACATATCTAAAGGCTTCTCTCAAGCCTTGGTGAGAACGGTAAATCAACCCAGTTCTTTATATATCTGCGCGTTGCGGATAGAGGGCCACTTCTTTTGTCTGGGACTTATTTTATACTCCTCACTGGGCACACGCGAAATGTGGTGAAGATACTTTCATATTGACCTCCTTCTTTTTTTTTTGCAACTTTTTGTTGCCTGTAGGAGCGTGGTATGGGCTTAATCAAACATGTTTGCGGGAGGGGTGTCAGCAGAGGGAGCACCCTGCCTGTGTGCTGTCATGCCACCGGCACGGCCATGGGGACGCGTGCCACGCCTGCCGCATCCTTCCCTCCTTCACAGATGTGGTTTACGGCGGTGTGGCGCGTGGTGCGTTCCTCTCCGCCTCCGCGTGGCGGAGGCAGCCGTCGATGGAGTTGTTGCGGCAGGCCGCTTGGGCACGCATCAGCAACGACGGTGGCCCTCATGGCTTCTGTTAGGCTTTGTAGCACAGCTTTGCGTGTAAGCGGGGAGAAGGTTGCCGGGAAGGAAGAAAAGGGCCTGCAGGAGGCCGAGGCCTTCCTTCGGGAGCGGTTTGGGCCGCAGGCGAAGTTGGTGCTTCGACGGTGCCCACGGCGTCGCGTGAGACGGGCTACGCAGAAGGTGCAGGAGCCTGAGGCTGAGGAGGAGGATGAGGCGGCGGTGGTGGAGGATGAGGAGCCCGTGGCAGGCGACGTCTGGCGCAGGGAGCACGCCGGAGCCACCAGAGAGCCGCACTCGCCGCAGGAGTTCACGATGGAGTACCGGGCGTCGGCAACGTGTCGGTTGCTCGGATTTCCGGTGGAGCTCGCAGCGGCCAATGGCCAGCGGGCTGACGAGGTTTTGGGGCGTGTCCTGCAGGAAGCCCTTGAGAGCGACGTGATTTTTATACTTCCTCAGCCGAGGGCCTCGACATCGTCACAGACGTCGCGCGCGCGTGGACGCGGCCAGCAGAAGCGGGGTGGATATCGACGACACGCCGCCGCCCCCTCGCTCTCGCCGCGTCAACTTGAATTCAAGGCAATTATGGACGAACTACGCGAGTTATGCGTGCACTTTAGTCGCGTATTGAAGTTCGCCATCCGCAGCCCCTCCAACGCCGGGCAGCGGCAGCAGTGCAATAGTGGCGTCAATACTACTACTACTACGACGACTACTACTGGCGGCCCCGCTGGTGGTGCTGGTGCGACCCGTGCGGAGTGGGGTTGCCGGGCCTACGTGCGTGACGAGTGGGGGGTGGCGCCGACGCTCACCTTCACCGGCGAGGCGCGGGGGCAGTCGGCGAATGATGCCCTGATGCGTTGCTTCGCGATGCTGCGGGACCGCTACCGCGACGAGCTCGAGTCCGCCTTTGTGCAGCTCGAGAGCGTGCGCGAGGTGGAGGCCTTCGTTCGCCCATGGGGAAAAACCGTCGAGAGCCACTGCTTTGAGGAGGGCGCAGAGGAGCCCTCGGCCGCCGCGGCGTCGAAGCAAAAGGCGGGGCGGCGGAAGGGCGCCGCAGAGGCGGCCGAGGGCGAGCGAGCGGAGGGCGCGGAAGACTCGCCGCCAGTGCCGGTTGAGGAACAGTACCGGGTGCTGCGCCCGACCACCTTCACTGCCGCCGTCGTCGTGGAGGACGTGTGTGGCAACATCAGCGTGAATCAAGTGAAGCGGCAGGCCACCCCGTTGGCGGCGTACCAAAATGCATCGGGGCAGGCGCTTCGCTCGGAGGCCGCAGTTTCGCTGGATGTCACAATTCTCGATCAGTGTCTCCCACCGGCGCCGCTCATCACCCGCATGCGGTGGCAGTTTGACGCGATGGTGCATAAACTTGCGAAGGAGTTTGGGAAGCGGCCGGAGGAGGTTGCCGTGATTCGCATCGAGGGGGACAAAGCCAACAGCTACGACGTGGACGGGAACGAAGCCGCGGCTTCCAAGAAAGGCAGCAGCAGCGTCGGTGGCGGTGTTGGCGGCGACGCCCCAACGAGCGAGAAGCAGTGCGTCTTCTTTACAGCCTGTTTTATATCGGATGGAAGTGTTGTCTGGCAGAACAGCGGCTCGGGTCGCTACCGGTTGGAGTTTGACTGCTACGTGCAGGCGCTGACGTATCTGCTTGATCAATACCCCGAACTCGGGCGGGACTGCTTCGACGCGCGTGGCGGTGGCGTCTTGTTTCCCACCACGCAGCTCTTGGAGCTGGCGGTGCTTAAGCACGACAACTACAACATTTCCGCCAACCACCGCGGGAAGTGGAACGTCTACGCGCTGCTCGGGACACTCACCTCGCAGCTGCTGGGGAGTTTCTACCAAACAACCTACCAAGAGGACCGGGATGCAGGTGAGGCGCGGGCAATCCTCACCGTCAATGATGGCATGCATTCGAAGCAGTTGTTGATCCAGCGACAGGCGAAAAAGCGAGGAGAAGCTTGGCGCAATGCGTGCCTAGACGCACTGCGGGAGAATTTTCCCAACCAGTACCGTGATGCACTGCTGCTTCACCCTGACCTTGACCTTTCGAGCGACACAATGGCTCGTGGCAGCAAGTTCCGTGCGCTTCCACGGGAGAAGCGTGTGGAACACATTGGCAACTTGTTCTCACTCGTCGCCGCCTTTGCGGAGGAGGATTTGGGTTGGCACAACTTGCGTGTGCGACTCCGCAATGCCTCGGGGGACTTGGGCCTTCCACAGTGGGTGGCGGAGATGGAGGCGCAGATAGAGGGCGAGGAGCAGCGACGCGTGGTGGCGATTTCGCCCCCCTACTCGCAGGTCAAACATGCCAGGCGTGTCCTAGTCTACCAGCTGGCACAGAAGTACTTTCCGAAGGAGCTGCAGGCGTATGCCAAACTCAACCGCGGGGACGCCGTCAACCCCGACCAGGACGCGAGGAACGTTGACAATGCCGTCTACCGCGCGGGGGCAGAGTCGTTTGTGAGCCAGGTGATGGCGCTCCTTGAGGCGGAGGCTTCCTCCATGGCCCCTTTTACCTGGACGCTAGAGCAGTACGTTGACAGCACCACTTTCGATGAGAACGGCAACGACGGCAGCGTTGAGTGCCTTCTTCGTCCTTTCCACCCACGCTTCCGTGCGGTGGTTTATGGGCAGAACGGGGACGTCCTTATAAGTGAACGTACTGGCGGTGAAGATGAGGGCGCGGTGGTTGTGCTGTGCAGCGTGCTGCGCGCGGCCACCAATCGCTTTGCGGGGGACAAGGGAGAGCAGCTATGGACGGAGTACGAGTGCCATACGCCGCCACCAGTGAGTACCTCGCGGGAGTTGGCATTATACATGTTCAACGCCTTCTTTGGCGTCTCGAGCATTGGTGGCGTAGGTGGCGCGGACCCCTTGTCGACCTCTGCTGAGCAGCAGGTGGTTGACGTTGAGGCGCGCGAGGTGGGCGGTTACTGGTTCGTGACGCTTTCCCTGTCGCGGGTGGGGGGCTTGGCGGTGGCGCGCGCCGTCGCCATGGCGAAGCGGGAGGGGGTGCGGGACGTGGTGGTGTTGGCATGTCGGCGGAATTTCCCACGGCCGCTGCAGTACCTCTTGGCGCACTCCAAAGAGATGAGCTCCTTTGCAGAGGAGGTATTTGCGGCCCCGGTGGTGGAGGAGCTTCCCGGCCCCGTGATGCGAGACATCCGGCGAGGCGTGGAAGGGGCGGAGAGCGCGGGGCCGCCGCGGCCGTACACACTCCTGCGACGCTGCGTCACGCGCGACTTCCGCAACGAGCGTTGGCTGCGCGTGGAGCAGCTTCCCAGCAGCGGCAGTGGCTTTGAGTGCCGCATTTACTTGCAGAAGCATCGCCGTGCGTCCAAAAAGGGCGAGGTCCAACTCGTGGGGTTTGGCTCCGCCCTGACGCGCCCGCAGGCGCTGCATATTGCCGCGCTCTGTGCACTGGAAAATCTTTTTGAGGGGGACCTCGCGGAGGCCGTTGCGCGCTCGCCGGGCTATAGGGACCTGCCGTCGCCAGAGTAGTAAACATTGCGAGAGGGAAGGAAAGAGCAGGGAGAGCCACATATGCTGGGGAAAAAGTAAGAGTAGCGAGGTAACAGAAGGATATGCAAATTGCTTCTCCGTTTACGGCGGGCGAAGCGCGTGGATGCAGCTGGGGCGTTGTCGGGTGACGCTGCCTTGTGCGAAATTCATTTTTCCTCCCTCATCGTTTGTGGATCCCGTTCTTTCTTTTTCCTTTGTGTTTTGTTTTTCCCCTCCTTCTCTCGCTCTCCTTTTTTTTTGCGCGTGTGTGTCTGTGTATGGCCTCGGCTTCGCGGGAACGCGGGGCCACTTAAACCCCGAAGAGGAAGCGGCAGGCATGTGCGGTTGAGAAGGCCCCACTGGCCACCACGAGTTTGGCACGGCGCCAAGGGCGTGCCGGCGTCGCGAGCTCAAGCCACCGCTGCAGCGCATACTGACGACGGCCCCGTGCAGCTCCGATTCTCACTTTTTTGTGGGCGGATTGGCGCTTTTCCTCAGGAGAGGGCCGCGGTGCGATTGGCGGAAGGTCGGGGAATGTTTCAAACGTCCCGTTCTTCGGCAGGGCGCGACCAATGGACAGCGTCGACCGGCGGTGTGCATTACTGATACAGCGGGGGGAATGCTATTCCGTGCATCTGGGCCACTGTTGCACGACTGTTTCCTCGGCACCTGCGTGTCCAGCGGTCGCGGTGCCGTGCTGGCGGTGTGCTAGGGAAGCGTCCCACTCAGCGGCGGGACCTCTCGCTAGGAGAAAGTGATTGCCTTTTGCTGGTGATTGGAGTTGCCTTTATTGAAAGGTGTCTGCCTTGGTCTCTCTTCTTTTTTTATCCTCTATCTGTGGGTTGGGCACAACTTCAACCAAGCCGTCATTTCCTTTTTAGTGTCTTCTCTATTTGTGTGAATAGGGGACAAAAGGCCTTCCCTGGGCGCACATTACCGGCACGTAACGTTCGTAGGGAGTTAAGCGAAAGGGAGGAGAGAGCGGGGGGGAGCCAGTCTACGTTTTTACGCACCACGACGTCTTTGTGAATTCCGCCCTTCTGCAGGAGAGGAAAAGGGAACAAGGACTTCCTTTTGGTGAAGTTGTGCACTCCTGGTTTGGTTTCCGCCTAGCTTGCGCGATGAGCCCACTGTTGGTATTGTACTCGCTCGCGGTGGACCTGCGGGCCGCAGGTCAGGAGCTGCGCGTCACCAATGATTTTGTGCCTGAGCGGGAGTGCATAGAAGCTAACAGCACGGTGGTGGAGCACGGCGTGAGTGGCGAGTTTGCAGGGTCCCACGGGGTCAACGACATTCGAGCGTGGGTGACGCTGCTTGTGGATGTGCGGGCTCTGTGGCAGGAGTTGGGCTACAACGAGGCGGTGGTTGGGGGCGGTCTTGGCCGCGGCTGCTGGTGGAAGTACATGAATATGACGGAGCTGCAAAAAGACGCTGAGGAATACGTGAAAAATTTCGCCACCGGCGCCAGGGACTTGCTACAAAGCACCGCGAGTGAGATGCAGGCCTTGCAGTGTCTAGCTAATAATCTGATGGCGAGGAAGCTGGGAGGAGGCGTGGCGCCGTTGCGGGGCCCAGGCTCTGCGTTGGCTGCCGCCACTGGGCTGCGGGCGACGTCCCCAACGTCGGGGTTTGCACTGGGGACGGATGCTGCGGAGGGGACCCCTGCAGCTTGCCTTCTCGGGGCTCCGCAGTTGAAATTGGGGGATGCGCGTCCGCTCACTCCCCACGCTGCGGAAACAGCTACAGGACTCACGAGCTCCGTGCAGCGGACTCCCTGCGTCCCGGCCCCAGACGACCCCGGGAACGAGACGGGGAATGGTGGGAAGGACGCGGTGCTCCAAAGCCGGCAGCCGACCTCTGCCGTTTGTGCGGGGGAGGCGACGGGAGCGACGGTACCGCGGCCGACTGTGTCACTTGCGCCGGGATTGGCTTCCGTAACGGACAGAAATGGGTTGCCTGGGGCCGTGCTGTTTCTGCTTCCAGCTCCGAGGAGAAAAAACTTGAAGGACAATGCGTCTGTGAGCGCTCGTAAGGCCCGGGTGCTTGAGCTGAACGAGCTGGAGCTAATGGTGAAGGAGTTTTTGAAGACCGACATCGGCTGGACGGATCTCACGCTGAATCTGGAGGGAAGGTTTATGGGCAGCCCCCCCTCCCAGATGTGGTTTGCAGAGGGGCAGGCGAGGCTAGAGACGGGTGAGCGGGAAGCTGTTGTGCGTACACGGCATCCGCGTTCCCGTGTGGCAAAGCGCCTTGCCCTGGTAGCTCTTGCCCGGGAGCACTTTCCCAGGGAACTGGCGTATTACCTGCAGTTGCATGCGTCGGAGTTCAGCTTTCTTGACTTGACGACTCTGAGTTGTGGCAGCGACCACAGCGACGCGGAACTCTTTGGTTCTGGCGCCAATGTGCTGACGGTGGTCTTGCGTTTGCTGGAGAAATCAGAACCCGCTCAGGCCCCCTTTTCGTGGGTGCTGGAAACATCCGAAGCGATGGAGGGGCGGCGCGGTGGTGAGGGGCAGCTGCAGCCCACGCCTCTTCGGTACCATGCAGCACTGCTGTCGAAGTTCAAGAGTGTTATAAGTGAACGTACTGGCGGTGAAGATGAGGGCGCGGTGGTTGTGCTGTGCAGCGTGCTGCGCGCGGCCACCAATCGCTTTGCGGGGGACAAGGGAGAGCAGCTATGGAGGGAGTACGAGTGCCATACGCCGCCACCAGTGAGTACCTCGCGGGAGTTGGCATTGTACATGTTCAACGCCTTCTTTGGTGAAGATTCGCAGGGGGGATGTTTGCAGTTCTTCGCTGAGGCGCTGCCGTTAAAGGACAATATAATTCTGTGGAAGGGGATCGCAAAACTGCGCGTGCAAGATCGCCTTTTGCCGATAGCCGAGGCATACGCCTCCTCCATGCAGGCTGCTATCAGAGACGTGATCCTGCTTAGCTGTCGGAACAACTTCCCGTGTGCGCTGCACCGCATTTTACTTCAGGCGGAAACGCGACCGACAAGCCCGCTGGTGAGTGCGGCGCGGGAGGTGATGCACAAGCCGCTTTTTTCCAGCACAACCTCGTTGCTTCGAAAAAGCATGGAGGACGCCACGACTAACGCGACGGAGGCTGCCTTTGAAATTCTCCAGGCCGCTGTGAGAAGGAAGTTCTACGACAACCTCGAGGTGAAGGCACGGGTCACAGAGGAGGGAGGTTCGTACACATGTGAGCTTCTTTTGTTGTCGAGGGAGAACGAGAAGGCGATGCCGGAGATACTGGGCCGCGCGGAGGGGACTTCGGAGGGCGAGGCGCGGGGGCTGGCGTCTATCGCGGCCCTCAAGTCGCATCACTGGCGTGAGTACGAGGAACTAATGGGCGGTGGTGCGGCGTTATTACAGTCGGACTGATGTCATCCCTGCGTGCTGCCTTTATCCCCTTCTCTCTCGGCCGATCCGCCCCTTTCTTTCCCCGCCACGGATGCCTGTTTGCTTCCTGTGCGTACTTCCCCCGTCCCATCCTCTAACTTCGGCTCAGCATTATTATTGTTTTTTTTTTCTTTTGGTGTTGGTGGTGTGCGTTCTGCTCCATTTTGCCTTGCCACGCGCGCTCTCTCTCTCGCTCGCTCTCTCTTTCTGTGCATGCGTAGGTTGACCTCCTCCTCCTCTGTTCTCTCTCTCACACACACTCACACTCTCACACACACACGCACGTAGTGTGTGGCAGGGGAAGCAGGGGGTGGTGGTGGTGGTGCTTGCGGCAGTCTGCAATGGAAGAGATTCCATTTCCTGCGTGGGTGCGGCGCTCGCCGGTCTTTGCAATGACGCGGGTGCTCGGCCAACACCTGCGGCAACAGTTGCAGCCCACATGTGTAGAAGCAACAGGCACAGCCGTGGTGGAGGCACCAGCAACAGCACCAACGCCAACAAATGCAATGACTGCGGCGCCGTCGACAAAGCCGCGTCACTCCGGGGGGTTTACCCCCCGCAGCATGAGGTCCTTCAGCGTCGCCGAATACGTGGATCCAATTGGGCTGTTTGGCCCGCATGGAGACGCGACAGGGGTGGTGGTCGAGGATGGCGGGCGAGCAAGCAGCAGCGCCGCCGCGCCCCCGCACGAGTCACGGGCGCGGCCACAATCCCCGCGCTCGCCAGTCACGCATCTGAGTGACGTTCTGAATCACCCACGCGTTGCGCTGCTGATCAGTTTGTCGCAAGTGAACGAGCTCGTCTCACAGCGTGCCGGGGTGTCTGTCAAGAACGCCCCAGCGTTAATTTCTCTCATGGCCCTTGCGGTTGAATGTCGCTCGTTGCCGTGCGAGTGCACCAATGGTTTTTATATGGAGTGCCTCTCCTTCTACACGCTTTTGATGCAGCAGCTGGGCACCGTGAAGTTTTTTCCAGGCGTTGACGTGCATGGGTTTGTGGCGTCGCTGGTTTTTTGTGGGATGCTGCTGCGGGGCAGCGCGGCGGGGCGGAAGGACGGGGAGGCGGAGGACGGGGAGGAGGCGAGCGGGTGCGGCGGCGGCCGTCACCACCACCACCACCACCACCACCATCACCACCACGCGCACAGCAGCCACGCCCGCGAGAGGCACATCGGCCTGGCAGGCTTTGACAGCCGCATCATCGACTCTGTCATCATCGCCTGCATTCCCGCAAGCATTGACGACTGCGTGGACGACCCCATTGCGCTTGGCGCCCTGAACGGACTCGCGTACACGACGAGGCGGGAACCGGTGTGCCTCAGCCCTCAGCTGCTACATCACCTGCACAACCTGACAGACGCCTTCACGACATCGCCAAGGCGAAAAGAGCCGTTGCACAAGCGGTTTCTTTGCTGCCTCATGGAGGCGATATGCTGCGCGCGAGACGTCAATTACGCCCGGATGCGCAACTGGCTGCGCGCTGTGCTTCAATCGGATTATATATTACGAGGTCTTATGC